TATGAGATGAAATGTTAAATGACCAATCCAAGTGAATGTATTTTTCCTGACTCCAGGACCAAAACAACAAACCATTTTTAACTTTTTTATTTCACATCTGAGCACATTTTATGTGCTAGTGATTAGAAATAAGATGCTAGGGTTTTTTTTAAAAAAAAAAAACAACAACGCCTGAAATATTTAATTGCAGGGCCATCAAAAGAGCAAAACAGATTAATTTTTTTATAAAATGATTAACTATTCATCTACAGACAAAAAATACCTTTTGCTATTAAGACTGAATACTTTGTCAAGTTAAGACTGCACCCTATATACTTCTGTCTAGGAGCAAGTCTCACTGAACTAAATCTGTTTTACTGCTGAGTAGACATATATATATGGATATATGGATGCATTATATATTCTGTTCTTCTGGGAATTAAGCAACCAAAATCATGCTTTTGTTCATGTTTGTTGAAAGCAGATGTCATGAAAAAAAAACTGCATTTAACTAGGCACACTTGCCATGAATTGTTATTGTTCTGTTTTCTTTAAACTCAGCATGGTTAATAAAGAACATTGTGAATACCAAGAGTCAGGTATGAAAGCTAGGGAAATTTCTTTTCCAGATTTATATGTGAAAATCTGCACAGAAAATATTCCCCAACCTGTATCCCTGACTCTCTAAAAAATGAGACTAAATAATAGCATGGTTGGTTTCCACTAAGTAACCAAAGAATGACCTCATGATAATCCAGAGCATAGCTTGCTTGCCTTCCAGCTTCTGAGGTAAGATGAAATGTTTAAATGTGTGTGTTTCTTTTTCAAAAATAATATATATCTTTTTTTTCCATCCAAATCTATGAATTCAGCCTTTATTTGGAAGACCAGGAGAAAGTTGACTGCCAAGCCTTTTGAACGCATGGGCTAATGATTAACCAATGAAAAAGGAGAAATTCCATCAGAGGGACCTACCTTTCTCACTTTCTCTCCCGCACCCCCTCCCCAGTAACTTCCCATTAGCCTCTTCAAAATGGTATTTTGAACATAGAATGCACTTAAAATAACTGTGGTAATTTGAAAAAAAAAAAGAAAACAGTGGCACAGTATCACAGCAATCATATGTCCTTAGCTCATTCTTAAATTAAGCTCATTCTCAGATTCAGGTTGTCTGGGACTGAAACTCCAGATCATTGCAATGCATTTCTGTTAGAAACATAATAAAAATACTGACTCTTAAGATAGAAGCAAAAGTCTTCAAACACTTGCCATAGCCCTTTAATCCTTTGTTACTTTAGTCTGAACAAATTTACTTTTATCAGAAAACTCCTGGTTTCTAGAGCCTGGGAAAGTTACTTTTCTGGAGCCTCTCATATAGCTACTAATCATGCTGGCCGAGGGATGCTGGGAATTGTGCTCACAAAAGTAATTTTTCCAAGCAATGTTGATTTTTATGATACAATCAGTCACCAACACTTTTGCATAACCAGATAAATGCTTTGAAGGGGGGCAATAGTAACAACTAGAGATGAAGATGAATCAGAAAACCAGTGGCTCAGGATGGTTTGTGGCTACCCACAAACCACAAACCATCGTGAACTCCCTGAAAAATGAACCAATTCATAGTTCATTTTTTGGGTTCATGACGGATGAGACTGTCGGTCCATCCACTCCCTGGCCACTGCCCCATCACCTCCTTACTTGTTCCTGCTGCTGCTGCCTCCTCCACCACCATCATCACCTCCATCATCATCAGAGACAGCAGGCTGGCTTCCCTTCCAGCAGCCAGGCTGGCTAATTTTGTGCATGAGCCTGCCACCCAGCTGGAAGGGAAGCTGGCCTGCTGGCTCTGAAGATGCCGGTGGCAGAGGAAGCAGCAGGACCACAAACCAGCCTGATCCATTAATTGTTCTTGATCTTAGTTCGTGCCCATCTCTAATATCACAAACACTTGAAAAAATTGGTGCTTCATCAAACTGGGTTACGAACTGAACCACAAACCAGCCTGATCCATCAATTGTTCTTGATCTTAGTTCGTGCCCATCTCTAACAAACACTTATGTTTTATCAGCCTTAAAGCAGGACTGCACTCTTTTCAACCTGACAACCACTTCTTGTTCTGGCTGGAGGATAAATGCACACATGTGTACACATCTACACTGAAAGACAGAGAGATTTAAAACCCCCAATCCTTTTCCAGTAAGTTCTAGGGATTGCTCGGATGTATGTGTTTGCATGCCTGTGCATGTGCATGAGAGAATGCAAAGAGAAAAGCCTCTCCCATGCTTCAGCAGTCTTTCGTAGAAAAAACAATTAGTTCAGAAGTCAAGGAACAGTGTTTCTCTCCTGCAGGCCAAGAGATCAGCTGGGCTGCAGAGAAGCACAAGTGGGAATCCTCCAGATTCGGAGGCCACACACCACATCCACTACATGCAAAAGATATGACAGCTCAGTTATTGTCAGAAACAAAATCTGAAATGTCATGATGCCATGGTCAGTTTCTTAATCCAATATCAACAAGAGAGTCATTTTCCTGTAATCTGATACCTTTACATTAAATGAGAAGAATTTTGACAGGAAAAAAAAAAACAAATCAAAGGGAAATGCTCTTTTGCCCTCATTTATAGGGCTTCAGCCTGATGTTCTTCTGAGCCTGGATGTACTGGCTGGGGCAAAACAAAGGATATGTGACTTACCTTTGTGTTGTCTGCGTTTTGTTCTCACATCCAAAACAGGACCCTGCGTGCCCCCAATACACATAGATAACTAGGGTAAGGAGTTCAAACACCTGAGTGCCACATGAGGAAAACCTTTTTCATCAACCGTACTTCTGATGTCACTCCACTGACAACTGAGCAGATTGGAAGTTCTGTGTGAGAATAGGCAGTTTCCCTCAGTCCATTGCCTCAAATTGGTTAGGGTTTTAAAGTAATAATGTATCAGTTTGATTCATGCCCAGAGAGAAACAGGAAGCCAATGAAAACTGTACAATATTGGAGTCATGTGCTCCATTAGATAGGCATTTGTCAGTAGTTATCAGAAGGCACTGCAGCCTGCCATTCCATGTTGCACACAGAAGCTGTTTCTTGTGAGGAGCTCCACTGAAGAGAAAGAATCCTGACCAATTTTTAGAGCCAAAGATGTGGTGCCAATCCGCCGATGGAGCTATGTCCTAGCCTATTACATTGTCTAAAGACATATAACATTTCACCATATTACAGTGGTGCCTCGCAAGACAAATGCCTCGCAGGACAAAAAACTCGCAAGATAAATGGTTTTGGCAATGGGGGCTACTGACTCGCAAGACAAATGTTCCTATGGCCATGTTTCGCAAGAAGAATGTTTTCCGTGTTTTGTTCCTGCCTCAGGTTTGCTGATTTTTAAATGTTTTTCTATGATGTTTAAAAAGTTAAAGTTTTTTAATTGACATTTTTAAAATCATCTGCACAATATGTATGGCTTTAAAGAGCACTTAATAAACCCTTTGTAAACCAAATTAGACTTTGTTCTGACTTTTTTTGCCCATAGGAACACATTAATTAGATTTCAATCCATTCCTATGAGACAACGTGTTTCACAAGACAAATATTTCACAAGACAACATTAACCGCGGAACGAATTAAATTCATCTTGCAAGGCACCACTGTACTGTAAATTCACCAGTCTCATCTGGTTTTAAAAGCTAGTCGGGATCAGGCCTGGTGAATAGCTGGATGTGAGACAGCCAGGCAATGCCAGGGAACTCTAGGTAGAACTAGGAAAGAATCACAGCCGAAACTCTGAAGAGCTACTGTTGGTTACAGTTGGCATGTAACCAATGGTCTGATTCAGTATAAGGCAGCTTCTGGTATTCCTATGTAGATTATCAGCTCTCAGGCTGGTAAGTACCTTGGAACCCCATGCTTGCCACCTTACATTCCATGGTGCACGAAAAGTAGGATATAAACATACTAAACAAACAAACACAGAAGTAATCAGTCCCAAGTTGCTAGGGGATGGTCTTCTTAATCAAAGGAAGATTGCATTGAAATTAATACTACTACAATGAAGTACTGCCCTTCAACATTGCAAGATCTGGAAGTCAAACAAAAATGAGGGACCATCTTATTCTAGCAGACCTTTTACAAGTTTTTTAGCCAATGGTCATGCTGGCTAGAGGATCCTGGGAGGTGTAGTCCACCAAAAAAAAAAGAGAAGCATTTTGTGAGATCTAGTCTTAACGCAAGACAATGCCTTTTTCTGGCCTTAAAAAATACATAAAGCTATGTTGTCTGGCAAAGGCTCTCCAGCCAAGATCTATTGTATCACTTATTCTGGTTTAGGGATTATGGGAACTGAAATCCAAGAAATGTAAATTTTCCAAGCTATGGGCTTTACGTACATATACTGCCACCTGTTCTGAGGACAGAAACATTTTGAGAAAATGACTGGTGCAGACATACCCTATGGTTTGGGAACAGGCTTCTCAATCCATTCCCTTAATTGTTCAAATGAGAGTGGAAAGTGATCGTAATGAGGTATCTGTGCCACAATGGCTAAACGAACAGTAAATGCTGAGAACTATTGACTGCAATTCTCCTGTGCTACTGGCAAATCCGACATTCACAAATATCTTGTCTGAAGAGGCACTGAAATGTTGGAATATTACTTTGAGTGATATTAAATGAAGCACAGACTGCTTTGGAATGGAGGACACAAGAAAATTTGCATGGGTGGGAAAGCATATGTTGCCAGCTGGAGGAGGAAGTGGTACACCACACTTACTTCATAAGTGTGAGGTTTTTATAAACAAACTCTCTTGAGGATTGTTTAAAATAGACAGAAAATGACACACAGTCTCCAACTGGGCTATGTTGTTGTTTTAGAAGTTTGTGTGCATTCTAAAAACATTAGTGTGCTTCCTCATACTCTTTCCAAAATGCTCTATTTTTAACTCCAACCTCTTCCGAATGGTGGGCAGATGTGACACACAGCAGACTTCAGCACATCTTGCAAGAAACAAACTGCCAGCCTTGTCATACCTGACAGTGAAAAACATACTCAGGGGTCATCTTCTTAAATTTCATGTTCCAAACCAAGGCTACTCCATCTGGCTCGTGAGGAGCATCTTCGTTGTTGTTATATGAAGCAACCATCAACTCAGGGTACTGTAAAGAAAATAATACACAGTTGAATTTGGAAAAAAATAGAGCAGTGTTGAGAAAAATCAAGCAAGCAGAAAAGTTCAAAGAAAGCAGAAAATAACAAGAAGGTGACAGATTCCAATGGATGTCCAAAATGTTATATATATATTTGCTTCCTTAAAAAAAGAAGAAGAAAAAGAAGTTATTTTCCAAGTGGATTTGAACTTCAAGGAAAATGCTACTCCTGTTTTACAGGATTACTGTAAAACCCTGTATGTGTTTACTTTGGAGTAAGTGCCAATGTGTGTCCTGGAGTGGTTGAGTATGCTGTCCAATCATAAATAGCTTCCCTTTTCTGGCCCATTCCCTCTCTACAAACCAAAAGAAGAATCCAAGGTTTGTTCTTTAGTTTATTTTGAGATTTACATCCAGGTACGAGAATGCCCTTATGGCAACCCAGAATATCACATGAAATAGCTTCCATAGAATATGGTGTCAGAATTAACACATTTTATTATATTAGTTACTATGCCCCAAGAGTAAACTGCTACTAGGCTACACAGAGATACACAAATCCATTTTTAAATTCAGAATGCAAGATCTTTTTCCAGGACAAACCAAGCAAATACAATATTTTTCCAAAGAACAAATAATTTTACTCTGCTCTCCGTGCCCTTCAGCTGTGCACCTGCCTCCGCCAGACACAGAGGAGGTTAAATCCTTCTTCAGCAGCCAGTACATGAACCAGAGGGCTGGTGAGGAAGGGACAGAGAGCTGTCTTTCTCCTTCAGCTGTCAGCTGCCTTTCCACCTGAACTACACAGAGGAAGCGGATTAACTAGAACAGCAAGCAACAAAAGAGGCTGAGAGTGGCCAGTTCCTCCTTCACCTGCGTGGAGGGAGTTCTGTGCCAACAAAGGTATCTCTCAAGCTGAAATGTTGTTTTCACATACAGATCCCACAGCTACCAGAAGTTTAAAAAACCAGAATAAAAATAAATAAATAAAGAGCAAATAACTAAATCTCTAGCTCCACATATAAGTTCTTGAAAACAGCTGAAAACAAGATAGCCTTCACGGACAACTGTGCGAGGGAGGTGGTGGTTCATTCTCTTGTACATCTTGTCTTAAAGATGAATAAATATGCATTCTGGAGCCCAGGGTTGAGTCAACTCAGAAGGTGGAAGTGGAGAGAGCTGACTTGGTTTAATTTTGTTAAACGTGCTTTTCTTTTACAAGTGTGTAAAGAAGTCGTTCCCTCACACATTATGTACAGTGCTAACATCTGTTTCTAATATTGACATGAAAGTGCTGGAATCATAACATCTAAACTATAGCATTTGTTTTATATAGCAATTTCCCAACTTCTTTCTAGAAAAGCTTAACTATCAGGTTTTTTTAAATGTTTTTCAATTGTTCTTATACTTGATTGTTTAACTCTTAGTGTATGTTTAATTGTTTTTCAAATATGATATTTATACAGTATAGTGTTTTTAAATTTCTTAGTTTCTCTCTTGTGAGCTGCTTTGGGTCTCCTGTGGGGAGAAAGTCAGTATATAAACAAACAAACAAACAAATAAGCAAGCTTTTGCGCTATCTAAGTCTGCATGACCAACGCCATCTCTATAAAAAGTTTAACTTGTCTTATCTCTATTACTTGTTTACTATACAGTGGTGCCCCGCTAGAAGTTCTGTTCGCAAAACAGTGTTTCCTATGGGCGTTTTCTGCTGGACGATGTTTCAGTCAGTGCTTCACAAGACAGGTTTTTTCCAGGACCGATGCTTCGCAACAGCTGATCGGCGGCTTTGCAAAACGGGTGTTTTCGGGACCGATGCTTCGCAAGACAGCGATTTAAACAGCTGATTGGCGCTTCGCAAAATGGCTTCTGTATGGGCGATTTTCACAAAACGACAACTATTTTCCCCATTGGAACATATTAAATGGATTTCAATGCATTCCAATGGGGAATCGCATTTTGCAAGACAATGTTTTCGCCAAACAGCAATTTCAATGGAACGGATTAACATCGTCTTGCAGGGCACCACTGTATTCTTGTCACTCAGTCATTAAAGGCACAGGGTTCCTATCACAACAAAAGCTGGCAATTGAAAGAATAACTAAAATTATTTGTCTAGAGTAATCACTGCCACCAGCTCCATAGATTTTGGTTTCCTAATTATAACATATAAAAACATTTAGCGGAAACCATTTTAATGTAAGGTTGGGGTTGCAGGATAACCACAGCTTTGCCAGACTGAGAGCCTGTATGTTTCCTGGGTGAACTTGCAAGGGCTGGATGATGTTACAAGGAGACCCACAAAAAAATGCCTTCTGATACATCCCTTCCTACACAGGTGGGTCTCATAAGGTCTATGTGGCAGCAAGCCGGGCCACTGGAGGAGCTGCTACACCAGGGGCATCCTGGGAAATTCAAGAGACAGGCGGCAATCAGCCTCCCAGTGTGGCAGGATGGAGTAGGGCACATATCAGCGCAACTGTCAGTCTGGAGCCCATACAATCGCTCAAAGATGCTACATGCTGGGAACAACATTCTGGTGTCTTTGTATTTGCAACTATGAGTAATAGATCATAGTTACCTGCCAAAGATGATGCTATCCATTGCTTTCCACCAATCTGCTTCACCCCGAATTCAACTGTACTGTTTTCCTTGTGCTAATGCAAGCTCTTTCTTTGAAAAGCATGCAATGAAATGTAAAGCACAGGTGGAAATAACGAGGGTCCGGCCCCATGGACCCAGACTGTCCACTCATGATTTCACCACTGCTGCCAGCTCCACAGAGCATTCCTATGGTGCTGTTGTTCTGCAATCAATTACCCATTCCTGGCAGGAGGCGGGATGACAAGCCTCTCTGCTAGGTTGCACAGTGGCTAATCCATTGTGGAGAACAGCGCGAAGGCTCCGCGGAGCCAGCGTCAGTGGTGAAATCGTGAGTGGACAGTCCAGCCCAAATGGGGCTGGACCCTAATTATTTCCACCTGTGCGGGAATATTCATCTTCATATACGAAAATGAATACCCGCATCTCTAGTTCTGAGGTATAGCATTCCGCTTAACTGCCTTTTGCCATATATGAGTGCAAATCATGGAGGCTAGCGATCAAAGTTCCTCCTTGGACATAATGCACTGTGACTCTGAGAACAGTTAAGGTGAATGTTAAAGAGAGATAAGATTTTGGAGGAAGAGGAGGTGAGACAGGGCCACCCCAGAACAAAGAAGCAGGAGACAGAACATACTTGCATGCCTGAGGGGCTGAACAATTATGCTTTGGCAACTGATTTCCAAGTCGGCTTTATCTCACCATCCGGGGAATACAGTAAATGCTTCTTGTTAAAAAAAGCTATCAGATAAGACTTCCATCTAATTTCCAGCCCCTTGAACAGCCTAAAATAAGTGTTTCCTCAGGCTTGTTTCCCATTTCTGTGCAAATCCACACAGGCTTACTGGCCACCCACATACTAAGGCATACCTGTCACAAAACAGATTTGATTAAAATACATGGATGCAAAACCTCTCTTGAAATGAAACTGCAGCTATATGCCATAAATAGAAAAGACGTCCAAGTTCTGCATTGTATATCTTGAGTGACCTGCATGTTCGGGTTTCTTCAATGGTCCCAAAACGACTCACAACATACCATGAATGATGATGGTATCAAGTCTTACTCAGAGCTTGGAAACAATACTTTTTTGACATACAGCTTCCATAACCCTTTCAGTCAAATGATCGGTAGGTATGCAAACTGGGAAGATTCTGGAGGATATCTAACTTCTATTCTGACCTTAGGGAGATGCCTTATAACACTGGTTCTTAACCTTGGGTTACTTAGGAGTTTTGGACTGCAACTCCCAGAATCCTTCACCACCAACTGTGTTGGCTGGGGTTTATTCTGGAGGATATCTAACTTCTATTCTGAGCTTCGGGAGATGCCTTATAACAGGACAGATTATGTATCACACCTAAGACTATCTACTCTGAACAGCAATGGCTGGGTTTTTCAAAATCACCTGCTATTGTTACTGACAGCTTCTGGGAACTTAATGCACACTCTACCATTAAGGTTCAGTTCCTCCCTCGATGCTATACTTGTACCTCTTTCTTGAGGGAAGGGAATCCATGACCTACGATGATGTACCACTACTCCATTCCTCATGATGGGCCAGCCTAGTTGGGGCTCATATGAATTAGAGTTAAACAGCTGGAAGTCCACAGATACTACACATTTCCCTTAACCCCAGGTTGCCGTGTAGCCTTTGTGTGTCAAAGAAACACAAATCCAAGATCTTGGAACAATGGGCACAGCATTTCAGATACTGACAAGAATGCCCATCATTGATGCACTTTTCCTCACCAGAAGTCTTACCTGAAGAGACCAATCCATACAAGTGACAACTCGATGCTTAGACCAATGCTCATCATAGAACTGCCGGTTAAAGGAAAGATTGGCTCCAGCCTGGATGTCTCTATAAGGATTTAAAGAACAGTTTTGCTCAAGTTAGACTTAAAGTTACAGTTGGTTTTTTTTTCCTTGAAGAGACAAAATCAATTGATCTTCTTACATGTTGTAGATATTTCTGATCTTTTCTTTTCTAAGAGTCCTGAGCTAGTTTCTATTTGGTGCATCATGGACTGTGTCCTTCGCAATCATCTCCCACTGTTTCCACTGATTATTTTACTTGGAAGTGAAGAATGGAATACCCCCAAAATAAGACAGGTTCTTATATTGATTTTTGCTCCAAAAACACATTAGGGTTTATTTTCAGGGAATGTTCTATTTTCTTCATATACAACAATCTACATTTATTCAAATACAGTCATGTCATCTTCTTCTGGTTGCTGCACAATGGTGGAGGGTGGGGTTTCATTTAACTGGGGTTTATTTTGGGGGTAGGGCTTATTTTACGAGCATCCTGAACAATCATACTAGGGCTTATTTTCAGGTTAGGTCTTTTTGGGGGGGGCAACAGGGTGGGCTTCAACATTTGCTATCTGATAAGTACAGTACAACCATGTGGCATAGGATAATATCTTTCTTCGTTTATGCAGTCTGTGTAAATCAGGGTGAGTAGAGTGTGTCATGTAGGATACATGCACCTCCCAGTTAAATTTGCCCCCTCACACACCCTAATTTCAATATTGTAGTAGGGTTTTGTTGTTGTTGTTCAGAAAGCCCCCTTGTGCCTACTCAGAGCATGGGTGGCAATTAGAGATGGGGGTATTTGTATTTGTCTACGAATATCTCTGCGCAGATGGAGTTAATGAGAATCTGGCCCCACCATCCACTCATGCATCTGGCAAGTAGCCTCACTCATCCTTCCAATCACTCCCAAAGCCCCCCTCTCTTCCTGCCCTGCTAGCGACTCAATAGCTTTGCAGGGAGACTCGTCCGCCCTCCCATTGCCAGGAGTGGCCAGCCGAGCAGGAAGAGAGCATGGCTCTGCGAGTGATTGGAAGGATGAGCGAGGCTGCTGCCGGAGACATGAATGGACAATCCGGCCCCAGATTGGAAGGATGAGCGAGGCTGCTGCTGGAGACATGAATGGACAGTCCGGCCCCAGGGGCTGGACCCTCATTAAGTCCAGTTGCGCAGGAATATATGCCGCCAACCACAATCTCAAAGGGCAGATGTACTCTGTCTTTTGCCCATCTTCCTCTTCAGCAGTATTTCATTCACCTTTTGTGGGTGATCTGTTTGCTAGTGAAAGTGAGGAACAAAAAAAGGGAGTGACCACTTGCTTTGACTTCTTCCATGTGCATAGCCATCCCTTGCCCTTGGATTTCAGTGTGGAGACCACTTGCTTTGACTTCTTCCATGTGCAGATACAGAACTCCTCTATTAGAACTATCATGCAGGCTGTGCCCAGAGGACAGTTCATCTGGACAGAAGCAAGTCAGCATTTCCATCAGCACTTGCTGATCCAACATGGGGCAGCACAATCTTAACTCGATGCACTGGCTCTGTTGGTTCACCTCCGCCAACAGGAAAGCCAAAAAGTGGGGCAGGGGTTACAGGGAGAAGGAGAAGGAAAAGCCAAGTTATATCAGATCCCAAGCCTTCTTTTCCTCCATCCCAGGAAAGCAGGCACTGTGTTAACACTACACTAGGCCAGGAGAAGAACAGCCCTAAGGATTTTTCAACATCACTAGGCTGGAAAGGGTGTAGATTCAGTACAACTTTCACTAGCCTTGGATTTCAGCGTGGGTAGGATACTGCTGAACAAGGGTGACCACAAGAATAAGAAAGTTCAAAATTGAAGAAAACAGTATAGCAGAAAATAGTTCACCACTTAATCTGACACGGAGATTTTATCAATACGGAGGTATGTAAACAGTTCTGGAGTTTGCCCTTTTTTTGTGTTGTATGTGACAGCTTTATTTACTGAGTTACAAAGAAGATGAAAGGAAAAACAACTGACCCATCTTTTTCATCTACATCTCGGCCACTGTAGTCAAAGAAAATGTCTGAATCTTCAGCTAAAGCTCGCTCGATAACACGTATTGTCCGGTCAAAAAATATAAGGAACTCTTCTGTGTGGAGAATTTGCTGCTTTTCTTCTTCTGTCAATTCCCTAGGAGGAGCTTAGAGAAATATATTGGCAAAGTTAAGTATACAGGCATTTAAATATTTCCAGCTGAAACAAACTCTTAGGAAAGAAAGGGAATTTTCCTATTTCAAGTCATAGGAACATTGGCAAGATTGAATAGTTTGCTTCCTTCTAAAGAATTTTTTTGGAATTTTTCAAATGCACTGCTGCATATTCTTAAAATGTGACTTCTAAGGTATCCTATATCTCACTTATTTATTATTCTGAAGAAGAAAATACTTAAGATCCCATATAAAATAAACCTTGCATTCAGATTTCAGGAAACCCTTTTGACTGATGCTTATTACAAGCTTGAACTTTGAGCAGTATTAAAACATGTTTAACAAAGGAGCAGTCTTAAGTTCTCTTTTAACATAAAGACTATTTTCAATTACACTTTTTAAAAAAGTACTAAAATGCTCTTAGATTATTAAAATGTGTATTTTGGTTCACCATATTAAGGAGGCTTTTCAAGACTGAGGTCATGAACAAGCGCATGGAGCACTTCAGCTCTGAAGCAAGCAAATGGTTTACATGTAGAAGTTCTAAAACTTGGAGCTGTTGCAAGGCTGAATGGGAGTCTTTTGAATTGGTATGCCTGTGATCCAAGTTGGCATCGCTTAGGTCTATGATGGTGAACCAGTCATTTTTTCGAAGTAAGGGAAGAACTGCTTCTAGAGTAACCATGCGGAATTTTGTGGTGATGATGTAGTTGCTTAATAATCTTAAATCTAGAATAGGGTGAAGAGCCCTGTCTTTCTTGGGGACAGTGAAATAGCAAGAGAAAAAACTGCCGTTGTTTTAATAGATGGGTTGTATGGCAATTTTGAGAAATAAATTCATTATTTTTTCTTGCAGGGATTGTGACAGAGTAATGATGTGTGTTATCAGAGAAAGCTCAAAGAAGTGGATGCGGTAGCATTTTTGATGATGGAGAGTACCAAGGAATCTGTGGTGATGGATTCCCATGCAGGTAAGTGTTTCCAGAGGGCAGGGTTGGTGGGGAGGGTGGCAATCTTGGTCAGAGGAATGTCAAACATAGTGTTTTGGTTTCTGGTTATTCTGCCTTGTGGCAGGCTGTTGCCGGGTTTTGGCTCTTTGGTTTTCGAAGCATGGATTGTAAGAGGTTTGTCATGGAGGGTCTTGTTGGAACCTCTGGTATGAGTTATAGGGTCGTTTCCGTTGATTTTGCTGAGGACTTTGCTGGTAGGAAGGGTAAACTCCCCAACATCTGGTTTGAACGTTTCTTTTGTACGTTCTCTAGTATATCATCAGTTTCAGGATGAAAAAGACCTGCTCCATCAAAGGGGAAGTCTTTGATATGTGCCCGAGCATCTTCAGATAAGCCGTCGTTCTGAGCCAGGAAAAGGGCTATTGAGGTGGTCATGGACTTGGCTGTAGCATCTACGATGTAGCGGGTAGAAAACATCTGTTGTTTAGCAACGGAGAGACCTTCTTGTTGGAAGGTTTGAGCTAGTATCTTTTTATCCTCTGGCAGGGATTCAATAAAGGTGGACATGTTGTCCCAGAGGAAGCATTGGTAAGCTCCCATGCCCATGGTTCCTTGATAATTAGTGACTTGCATGGTGAAGGCTGCAGAAGAGTAAAGCCATCTACCCATGGAGTCTATTCGTTGGCTGCCTTTATTTGGTGGTATGAGAGATTGTCGGTGTCGAGATCTCGATTGAGAGGCTTCAACAAATATAGAATTAGGAGCTGGCTGTTTTTGGAGAGAAATGGCTCCTGGGTCATGAATTCTATAGAGGTTATCCGCTTAGACATTGTATGGGAGGAAGCTGGTTTTGTCCAGGATCTCTATGAAGTACTAAGGAGAGATGGCAACATCGAGTGGTTGTATTTTTAGAGATTGGATCCTATAGATTATCGGCTGTTCTGTCGATGGTCGGTGGCCTTGCAGATCAAGGGATTTAGCCATGTGAATCATAAATTGGGCATAGGTCTGGAAATCCTCTGCCAGTGATGGTGGGTCGGTATTGACAATGTCCGACTCTGGAGAGGTAAGTAACACCGATGAAGTCTGCAGCCGATATCCATGGTCAGAGCCATCAAGGTCATATCTGGAGTCAACAGACTGTCAATTGACTTTGGTCTTGAGAGGCTGAGTTTCATAACATTGCCGGTTATGACTCGAAAAAGATGGAGGTGGCATGTCCATTGACATCTGTCAATGCTGAGGATCGTTGACATCGAAAGATGGTGGTTGAGCGTTGACAGACCTCAATTGGTAAGGATGGACCTTGGTGTTGAGATCAGTGTTGTAACGGTGCTGGGGTTGATGAGTTGGATTTACCGGAGGACAGGAACTGTATTGATGTAACGCACTGGTTCTTAACCTTGGGTTACTCAGGAGTTTTGGACTGCAACTCCCAGAAGCCTTCACCACCAACTGTCCTGGCTGGGGTTTCTGGGAGTTGCAGTTCAAAAACATCCGAGTAACAAAGGTTAAGAACCACTGATGTAACGGAATGGAGCGAGTGTCCATGGAGCAGGACGAATATCGTCGATATTCTGTGTCTCTGTGATGTCGAAACAGAGGTTGTCAATGCGATGGCATAGCAGTAGAATAAATGGATGCTGGCAATGCTGAGCGTGAAGAGTTATTTCCGTTAGCTATTGTAGTAGGAAAGGAGGCTGGGGCTGCAAAAGGCTCACATGTAAATGAAATCTGCTTGACTGTCCAAGATTATTTCAATACCAAGTAGGGAGCAGGTTGAGGTATAGTCACCTCTCCGTGATGTGGCCACTTCGACACCGATGGTTGTCGAGAGGTAGGTCAACTACTAGATGGTATTATCGAACCAGGTAAAACACCTGGTTGACTAGTTGGTGCAGTTTGTCGAGCAGAGCACTGGTTGCGGCAAATGACAACCCAATGCACGTGCTGAGTTCCCATGGTTCTGGTTAGGGATTGGTGGGTGATCTGAGGGCATCGAATATGAAATCCTGTCGAGCCATTCGGGATGGGAATCCTCGGGCAATGGAATAACTGAAGGAATGCTGGAAGGAATGGAAGGTTGTGGACTGGGAGGAGAGGACGTTAATTGGTTGACTTTATCATCCCATTCTGGAGACTGAGAACAGGGTTGATAAGATGGAAGTCTGTCATCATCTGAGGGAGATTCGGCCACAATTGATTCAGAGAGTTGTGGTTGTGGTGGGATGTCTGCAGGTTTAGACTGTTTTGCTCGTTTAGGAGGAACAGGCTCTGGAGCTGGAGCAGCTTCAGTAGGTCTCCGACGTTTAGAGGTTGTTTTCGAAGTAGAGGACTTCGGTATCAAGGGTTTCAACTTGTGTGTCTTCAAGGTCTTAGAGATGCAGATGGAGAATCGGAATGAGCTGGTGTAGCCGATGGACGTTGTTTCGATGATTCAGTAACTGCTTTTTCCATTGCTTTGATTTGGGAAGTGGCCCTACAGGGAGGTTGGGCCATTTGAACAGATTGTAAGGATTGTTCCCAAAGTTGGAGTTTTAGCCTCGAGAGGCGAGATCGAAGAACTCCACGCTTAAATTTTTGCAATGGGTACAGAAGGAAGTTTGATGTTGTTCTCCCAAACAGAAAAGGCACTTAGCATGTCCGTCAGAAAGTGGGATCTTATTATCACAGACAATGCAGTGCTTAAATGAGTCCAAAGGGGCCATGATTAGGAGAAAATAATTGAGGAGAACAAACTGATGATTGGAGGGGGGGGTGCTGCAGCCGGTGGCAGAGCGAGGGGAAAGGAAAAATCTCTGATGATAGAGAGTTTGATCTAATAGTTTAAAAGAAAAAGATTGATAAAAGGAGGGAATCAAAAATAAGCTCTCTTTCTCTTTTAATCACAGAAGCAGAATTACGAGGCTCTCAATGCGGCGGTTGAAAGAAACTGAAAGGGGACGCTTGGCACTAAGCTACTTATACGGGTGGGGAGGGGCATATTCTAATGTGTTCATTGCTACCGCAGAAGCTCTATAATCTTCTGACGAGGCTCCACACAGGCACGTATCACTCAGGGTGTGATTCACAGAGGCCATGAAGAATAACCTGTGACACCATCACCACGTTTGCATAAGAAGGCATTTTTAATGGGATAAAGTCATCCCTTCTCAGAAAATAGAGGCTTCTTTCTCTCGGAAAGAGCCTGTTTCTCAAACATACACGTACAGATAAAGTCACATTTTATGCAAGTCAATACTATAATGCACAATAGGACTTAAGTCCTGAATGGGTGCACACATTTGCCATATTAGCCTGATGTCTATGGTTCTTAAACAGAGCTTGGCATTCTTTACACATTTTATACACATCAACAGAGACTATAATGAAAGCATAATATATAATGGAATGAAATCTATTTAAGCTTTGGGGAAAATAGATTTTTATTTCACTGTTTGTAAGATGTAGCCAGAAACCACAATGAACTATCTGTTACATATAAACATGTAAAGGTAATTGTTTTAGACAGTGTACCAAATTAAATGCAAGAAAAAGCCAAGGGCCTAGTTTTATATGTAACCCTTAAAAAGAATAATATTTTAGTGTGTTAAAAATTTACATAATCTCTGAGAAACATAATTTAAATTAAACCCTATTCAAGCATTACAAATCTGGCAGGAAAACTCACACAAAGAGGAGAGCATTTTAGCTCCATCCTCCCAGCTCCTGGTTTCATTGCCCTCCTAAAAATAGATTTTCCAGGGTTCCAGCTCATTCACTCTCTTCAGACCTACTGCTGTCCATAGGAGGGTGAAGAAACTGAAGAAACAGAAGGCAGAGTTATAACCTTTTCCTGTTCATGGGGACTTCATGCCCAGTTTGTAATACCAGAATAGGGCTGTCATCTAAGTGTACCTCCAGACAAATACCTTCAAGACTAGCAAATCAAAAGCATTATGGACCTAATTCAGCCAACAACCCTAATTTCTTCCTCTTAACGGAAAGAAAAGGACGATGTAGTAGTAAGAATTCTCAGGAGAGTTAGATAAGGAATACAAGGTGTGACAGAAATCCTAAAAGAAAATGTCTAAATATCTTCACAGGGCTCCTGCTATGAACAGACTTCCAATGAGAGATTTATAGACCTGTGTTATACACAGAACTGGCAAGGATATAATGTATAGTCTTAGAAGATTTAGCACCCTTTTAATAATATTTCAGTCCTTCTTTCCGGGGTATCATTTCAATTATTTCTTAATGAATTGAATGTCCAGAAGGAAATCCTCCTAAGATTTTTTTAAGCAAACAAGCATATACATGTGAGTGCATAAAATATGTAAAAAATGGACGAGTACATATTTCAAAATCTACTGTTTTCCTATATAAAT